AAATGAGTGGTTTCTCTAGTGTGCGTCTTTATCATTACAGGGTCTGAGCCCCCTCGGCTCCTGGGGCGGGGTCCCTGGGTGGCATGGGGTGCGGGTCTCTGCACGCCACAGATGGGCAGGGACTGTGTGCTGACTGAGCGGTTTCCAGGCCGTTGGGTGTTGCTCCGAGAGGGAGGAGCTGTTGCTGGTCCAGGCTGTGTGGCTACCCCTCCCCTTTCTGAGCCCCCTTTCTCACACACACACTCCTTCTCGCTCCTCCTGGGCAGCAGCTGCCGGAGGCTGTAGGTTGAGAAGACTGGAATGGAGTCACTCGAGGGAGCCAGACACCTCGTTGGTTCCACAAGCAGCCCTAGCTGGGTGTTACTCCTTCCTGCCAGGCCTGCTCGCAGAGGATATATGTTTAGGAAACTTAGCCAGAAAGAAATCCAGTGAAAATGAGCTATGAAACTTGGACATCCTGGAGAAATAATATTTACAGAGGAAACTCTTGAGACGAACTCTCACCAGTGCAACAGCCCTGGCGTTGGGGCTCATGGCTGAGGACTGAGTCCTGTGCCAAGCAGCTCTGGCTCATGTGTACCTCCGTGAGGCCTTCACGTGGCCAACATGGGAGTCCATAGTCCACAGAGGGAGAACTCGACTCTACCTGCCCCCACCCCGCCCCCAGAAAGACAAACGGAGACTAGGGAAGGCAGAGAACAGAAATGAGCTAGGAAATGAAAAGCTTTCTAAAAACGCTCCTTGCTGATAATGATGTGTCAGTGTAAGTCCATCAGTTGTAACAAATGTACCACCGTGATGGGGGTGTTGGTAATGGGGGGCTGCACATGTGTGACAGCAGGGGATATACGGGAAATCACTGTACCTTCCCTTCATTTTTGCTGTGAACCTGACATGGCTCAAAAATATAAAGTCTATTTAAAAAAAGCATCCTTGATTACACGAAAGGACCTGTCCTTTGGGATTTCTGTAGCACCTATAATGTGTTTGAATAAATACCTACATAATGGGTGGGTAGGTGGAAAAAAAGTCCCAGGCAACCAACCTGGAGCTACAAATGGGATCCTGGATGACTATCCGCCAGCTTATACATCTTGTCTGACCTTGAACACAAGGGGGTGCAAGGAAAGAGAATTTGGCTGGATTTGGATCCATCTTTCCCACCACTGGAGCCCAAGGTGTTGTATGAAAGAGAAGAAAGCACAGGATACTTGCAATCCTCAGAGCTGGGCTCTGGTCACGACGTGACTCCTGATTATAAGTATAATGTTGGGTAAAACATTTTGTCAGCAAGCTTTAGTCCTCTTCCCTACAGGACAAAGCCACTGCCACCTTCCTCCAGACAATGCTGGGAGAAGCAATGAAGTTACTGTAGCTCCGTGGAAATGACAGCGACAGTCCTGGGCCCTCTCCATGCATTAAATCATTTAATCCTCAAAACAATTCCAGGAAGCAGGTACTGTCATCACGCATAAGGCAAAAGAGCTAAATAACTTGCCCAATGATCACACAGCTAATACACAGCCAAGCCAGAATTTGAATTCGTGTAGTTTGATTCTGGAACCCACACTCTAATTTTATACTGTTTATACCAGGTTAGAAACTAGCACGATGCCTGGCATGTTTAGGTGATCCATACACAGTCCCTTCCCTTGGTCTCTCTTAAACATACAGTATTATGCAGAGAAACTGGCAGGAAAATATATTTAAAACTTCTCGGAAAACCATAAGATCCAATGAAAACACAAAGCACTAAAAAACCCCAATTTTACTGAGATATTATTCATATACCACAGAATTAACCCGCTTACGGTGTACAAGTCAATGGTTTTTCTTTCTTTTTTTTTTAAGATTTTATTTATTTATTTGACAGACAGAGAGATAGTGAGAGCAGAAACACAAGCAGGGGGAATGGGAGAGGGAGAGGCAGACTTCCCGCCAAACAGGGAGCCTGATGTTGGACTCGATTCCAGGACCTTGGGATCATGACCTGAGCTGAAGGCAGACGCCTAATGACTGAGCCACCCAGGCGCCCCCAGTGGTTTTTCTTAATTCACAGATTTGTGACTATCTCCACAATCAATTTTAGGACATTTTCATCCCCTGCAAAAGAAACCCTGTACCTCTCAACCAGAATTTCCCCTTTGCTCTCCCCACACTTGTCCTCAGCCCCTAGCTACCACTAATCTATGTCCTGTCTCTATGGGTCTGTCCATTCTGGACATTTCATTTAATAGAACCATACAATATGTGGTCCTTTGTAACCGGCTTCTTTCACTGAGCACGTTTTCAAGGCTCATCCATGTTGCAGCATGTAAGAGTACTCCGTTCCTTTTTATGGCCGAACAATATTCTGTTGGTGCAGCGCGGCTGTGAAAGGTATTTCCTTAGATGTTAGAGCTGGGAAAAACTTTAGAGACTGAATGCAAAGCCTTCCCATGTTACTGATAAAGAGACTGTGGCCTTGAGGTTAAGGAGCCTCGCCAAGGTCACCCGGAAAGCTCTCAACTCAGTCCCTCTTACTTCATTCCACAAAGCATTACTGGAAACATCATTCAAAGTGCACAGCTTATAGATGATGGACAGCAGGATCATCTCTGCAAATATTGGCCTAACATCATCCATTCGACAAATCTATCTTGGCTGAACCAGTGGGCAAGGCACAGTGTGAGGTGCTGCAGACCTAGGGGCAACAAGACAGAGACGATCCCTGTTCTTTCCCTGGGTACACATTCTCCTGGGGAGGCAGAAATAAAGGAGCAAACCCCTAAATGACAAAAACAATTGTTCGCCGTATAAAGTGCCACAGAGAAAACAAAGGACCGAGAAGGAGACAACGGGGGGGCTCAGGTGGCATTGGCAGGGACAAGGTTGTATACAGACAGTTGTGGGGGCCTTGAGTGGGAAAGGCCCTTCTGAGGAGGAGGCATTTAGGCTGGGGCCTGGAGGAGGAGAAGGACCAACTGTGTCAACATCAGGGTTTAGAAGGTGCCAGACAAAGTGTCAAGCGTGGGAAGTGGGAGAGAGCTTGCTGTGTTGGGGGAGTTAAACGGGTGGGGCGGGGTGAGTGGGCGAGCAAGTGGTGTGGTGTGAGGCTAGAGAGGAGGCCCAGATCATGATGGAGGCCTTCTGGCCTGTTCTCTCATGACTGCCCTCTCCGACTAACCCGAGTCAGGAGGACCCGTGGGAAAGGAGATCAGTGGCTTCCGGTTTCCTTCCTGTGAATTAGATAAACTCCACTGACCACAGGAAGTTGGGGTAGAGGAGACCCGAGTCTCTGTAGTGAACACTTCCAAGGACAAGAGAACTGCATCTTCAGTAAGGGTGAGTAACTATGTATCACTCTCGGGATGAATCAGAAGATAAGGAAAACGGGGAAATGAGAAAAAAACAGACATATTAATAAGGAAGCGGTTAAATGATTATGGTGTAGCCACATAGTAGAACACGGTGCAGCTGGTAAAAAGAACGAGGTTAACTCTTTCAGTGCTGAACTGGCAAGAGCTCCAGTTGGTTGTTAAGTTTGTGTTTAAAAAAAAAAAAAAGGCAGGAGGGATAACATGTATTTGCCCAGTCGCACAAGGGAGGCTGGGGGACAGAGGTAATAGAAGGGAGACTCTGTCTCCTCTTAACACGGTTTCCAAGTTCAAAACAGGTGAATATATTTCCTATTCAAAGAAATTGAATAAAGCAGGAAAACAAAGAAAAGGCAATGAGGGGTCTCCAGCTGCCAACCAGAGCCCGGTGTTCCTTCCAGCCCACCCTGCCCCTCAGCCTCCGACTAAGCTGATTCTTAGGGAGGTCAGCTTGTGCTCCCAGAGAACGGGGTGCTCACTGGTCCTCAGTTAGATTTTTTCACCCCTAGTCATCACGATGGTTGTGACAGTCTAGTGACCAAAGAAATCGTTCAGACAGCCCAGAATTAATTTTGCTTCTCAAACGTGATCCATCAAAGGATCTCCCCCTCTACAGCCACCAGGGGGAGAATGAACAAGTGAAGAATTATTGAGTGGCTGTCGTACTGCAGGTAGTGGTCCAGCAGTGGGCAAGGCTCCTTAGGGTTATTAATCAGTGTAAATGGGGAGTCTAACTCAGAGGAACTCAGCTCCTTGCCCTCAACCTCATAGTTTCCCAACCGCAGCACTACTGACCTTCTGGGTTGGATAATTCCTTGTTGTGGGGGCCACCCTGAGCATTGCAGAATGTGTCACAGCATCCCTGGCCCCGACATACCATCCTCACTGCAGCTAACACAGCCCAAAATATCTCCAGACACGGTCAGATGTCACCTGGAGAACAACAGCACCCCAGGGTGAGAACCACTGTTCCCATCCCTGCATTTCCAGACAACTGCTTTGTCTTCCCAGTGAGAAGCTGGGGTTCCCCTCTGCCTCTGTCTCAGCTGGGCTGCCGCAGAGCCTGGCAGTTGACTGAACTTCATGGTGGGAGAGTTCCCCGAGTTTCAGATGCAGTAATCAGTCCAACTTCCTGGGAAACTCTCCGTCTGGGAAAATAACGCTATCAGATTTTTTAAAAAAACCATCTATCTGCGAGAAGCTCCCATGGCGGAGGCTGGGGCCCTAAAAAGGCACCCCCAAAGCAGGTCGCTAATGAAAGCAAAACACACTCAGGCTGGCCAGCTCCCCACCCTGCAGCACCTAGGAGACAGAATGTCGCTTCCTACCGTGGTTGCTTCCCAGCCAGGAGGGGACAGAGACAGGAAGTGCGTGAGGGGTCATTCTGTAACCAACAGGGGGATGGAGGGCACGCCCACCATCATCTCTCCTTCTCTCAAGAACATCACTCCCAAAGGGCAGCTTTCTTTGGAGGGCAAAGAAAAAGGAACTGTATTTCTATGTTTTGATTAATTTGAGGCTCATCCTTGAGGGCACTGCGAAATGAGTGAGCAGAATTTTCCATGGCTAACTGTCCTGGCCGCCAGGCCCTATCGGCAAAGGTTTAGTGTTTATTTACTTTTGCTCATGTTATTTTTGTTTCAGTTCAGCTGCAGCTCAGTGCGGAAAGCGTGGGGGAGGTGTATATAAAGAGTACCGAGACTGGACAGTACTTGGCCATGGACACCGATGGGCTTTTGTACGGCTCAGTAAGTATGAGGCTGACATGCTTCCAGACACGGCCAAGGTTTGAGGTTTCCAGAAATCGTGTTACACTGAGTGATGCAAATATAAAGCAACAATTAGTCTCTGTTTGTTATTTTTTCCAGCAGGATTCCCACCCTCTACCGTGCCTTATTTTAGGTGCAGGCATGAAAGACTTTCTTGTGGTGCTCTCTCAAAATACTCAAACGTATTATCACCTAGACACAGAGGAGATATTGATTGAAATTTTAGTAACTCCTCAGTCAATCATTCCAGAATACCTATTTCCACTTCATTCATTCATTCCAAAAATGTTTCTCCAGCACCACTGCATGCTGTAAGCATGTTCTCCAAGCTTTTCACAAAAATTATAGAGCCTAGCATGTGACTCATCACCCAATAAACCTTCAGCAAGTGCCTCCTGTGTCTAAGTACTGAAGGGATGTGGCGATGAATGAGCTACATCCCTGTCTGAGCGTTTACTCAGGAGCTAAAAATCCTCCACATCTTTTGCACCATCCCTCCTCTGGGTAATTCTTTACACAGGTTTGACTCATTATATATTGGTCTTTGTGAGAAAAGAATGGAAACAGACAGTGTGATTTTTGCCCCTCTTGGTGTCTCTGGTAGAAGATTTAAATGGAAAGAGAACTAAAGCCAATGGACCCAAGTTTTGAAATTATTTCTGAATCTCAATGATCCTTTCTCTATATCCTAACAATTGATCACTGAGGCTTGGCCAAACTCCTTTCTTCCCTTTTATGAAGATGTCTACAAAAAGGCAGCTAGTAGGGGGTTTTGGTCTGAAGCTCCCTTTAACTTACATCAAATTGCCAAGGGGCATGGGCACAGAAAACTGCCTCTTAAAGCTCTAACTTCAGCCAGGGTTCAGGATGTGAACACAGTTTGGTTTGTCAAGTCGCCTGCTAAGGGTCAGGAGATGAGACTGTCAGAGTAATGAGCAGCCTCCGTAGGCTGTTTGCTGAAATATGGATCAAATGGTACAATTTTAAAGGGTTTGGAGGTAGGTAGTGACTGCTACATAGGAAGCAGATTTTTTTTTTTAAAGTGGTTCTTCTACTTGGTAAAAAAATCAATCAACCAATCAATCACTGAATCTCAGACTCAAAACTGAATCTCAATTCTCTGCAACTTTGGCAAATTACTCACCTCCTCTGAGCCTTATCTAAAATGAAGATAGTAACTGATGGTGACTACCACATATAGGGGTTAAGAGGGGTCAGAGAGACAATGCACAGAACCCACCCACCAATATTGCTGACACACGGGAGGTACTCCATCAGTGAGAGCTATAAGACAAATAATAATTTTATAAATCCCTTATTCTCATTATTTCATAGGTTACATTTATAGTTTATGGCTTTTCCTCTTTTAAATCAGTTTTGATATTTAATATAATCTTCTTCTACTTGTATAAAGATCTTGAGGGAGAACCCCCAAATCCAATTTCCTCTGGGCTCCCACCGTAGTCCTGCCCATCACTGTACTTCACCTGAAATATTCAGAGGGTAATCTTAATACATTATGCCTAATAATCTATATATTTCTCCACTAATAATGACAAGTTCTAAAATATCTCAGAGCTCTGCCTCACTCTTAACCAGTTCTGGGTATTAATCCACCCTGCTACAAATTTTTATGTCTGTAGAAAGGACATATTATTTTAAAAAATAAGTTTGAAAGGCCATATATCAAAACATTAATATATGTATCTCTAGGGGTGGTAAGTGGCTAATTTTACAATATGTGAATGCCTGTCTTATCCAAATTTTCTACAGGAGGCACATGTCACCCATTTAACCAACTGAGCCACCCAGGTGCCCCACATGTCACCCATGTAGTGGGGGGAAAAAGTGTGCTAAATATAAAAAAAGAGAATAATTTTTAAAATAGTCATGAATCAACTGTTAATCTCTAGGCCCTTGGCATTGCACCAAGTGCATCACAACTCCTGACAAATCCTGGTTGAGGGACACACGGAGCTCCTCGGATACGTCCCTGCTGACTCAGCCTGTGACTCAGCCGCTGTGTGTGTGTCAACTGCCCTAGTGTAACGGAGACATCAGGAGAGGAACGTGGCCGTCCTCAGCTGCGTCACAGAACGCAGGCCTGATGCCCACTGAAGGGTGCCATGGGGGACCCTCCCTGCAGGGGAGCGGGTAACCCACACACATCCACAACTGCCTACCTCCTCCCACACCCAAAAACGTGCATCAACCGCTAACGTCTGCATAAGTTCCTTTAGGGGCAGCAGTTACCCAATTAAGTATTAGTTATCGCCCATCTTATTCTAAAAGGATCCAAAGTGTCTCACCCAGATATTACTGCACGAGACTATAAATGAATAAGAAGCAGGAAACGTCCTGTTCCGTAGTCCCTTACTAATCAAACATGCCCACAAATAAAGAATAATGAACAACAAGATTGGAAACCACCAGGAAGGGCATCACCCACCGCTGTGGGTGAAGAGATAACATTGAGATCACGTGACTTGGAACTGGAGCAAAATCAATATACAGCATACATATTTTATATCCAAATATAATAAATGTATTCTAAAATCCTGATGAATAGGAAGTTCAAACACCTGGGGTTCTTCCCACTCTCTAACAGATGAACTCCAAATAAAACAGTAATTGTTGGTAGATATTTTTAAAGTAACTGCACTATTGAAAATGTTGTAGTGATCTTTCCAGCTTAATAAACTGGCAGCTGCACTGGATTCCACTGTATGGGTGTGCCCCTCGCCACTTAACCAATCACCTTTCCATGAAGATGTAGGTTGCTTCGAATGTGTTCCCATTATACCCAGTACTTCAAAGACCATCCTCGAAAATACCGTTTTACACTTGCTCAACTATCTCCCTAAGGCTCAATTTCTACAAATGAAATTGCTGGGTCAAAGGTAATACATATTGCCAAACTACCCTCAGAAAATTGCTACCAGTTTATCTCACCAACAGTGCACAAAAGTGCCTATTTTCTATGCTCTCACAATACTAAGCATTGCAAATTTTTTTTGTTCTTTTCAGATATTACAGCCAACCTGTTAAATTGGTTTTAATTTGCATTTTCTTGTGAGATTGAAAGTTTTCATAGGTTTATTTCCCTTTTTTTTTTTAAAGCAGAGATAGCATGCCATTTTGCTAATATCATCAGCCTCTATCCGTATGGCCTTATCTATGTCCCTCCGTGTTTACGTACATAAAGATATGAGGAAGTATGTTCATCACCGTTAACAGTTGCCTATATCTGGGTGGGTGGCTTTCGGGTGGTTTTTAAATTTTTCTTTCTTTTTCTTAAAGTTGTGATTTTTGAAAAGTGCAATTCTTTAAAAAAAATACAGTGCAATTCTTCGTATAAGTAGGTCTTTTTATACATAGGAAAAAATAAAGCTATGTTCACTTTTTAAAAACTTTAAGTTCCAGGATAATGTTTCATGCTTAGGATACATTTTGTACAAGTGTTTATATCTCTAACAATGCTAAGGTAAAAATCCTGATATTGTTAGGGAAAGTCACCAGGATATAAAATAATATTAGTAGGTTTCCATTTATTTTTCAATCCAAACTTAAAAACGCTCACCACATCGCAGTTTGGTTTTACCGGTTTGGGCCTTTTTTCAGTGTCATGTCCATGTGCCGGGCCTTTACAAAGACAGAAAGCTCAGCCCTGCCCTTGATGTGCTGTGGTCCTGGTCATTCCAGATCTCCCCAGCTGGGAACTCTAGGGTCCTGAGGGCAGCAGATGGAAGGGAGCTTGCAAAAACAGTAAATGAATTTGAAGGCTCACTAGGTGCTGGGTTCTGTTCTAAGTCATTACCATTACCATTACCCTCAGAGACAGGCCCCGTTATGATCTCAATTTTCCTGAAAAAGAAACTGAAGCACAAAAGGGCCGCAGTAAACTCGCCCAAGGTCACGTGGCTAGTAAACAGAGAAACCTCCCTGAAAACCAATCACTAATAATTCTACCCTCTCTCGGTCTTATCTTTTTAGCAGACACCAAATGAGGAATGTTTGTTCTTGGAAAGGCTGGAGGAAAACCATTACAACACCTACACCTCCAAGAAGCACGCCGAAAAGAATTGGTTTGTTGCTCTCAAAAAGAACGGAAGCTGCAAACGTGGTCCTCGGACTCACTATGGCCAGAAGGCAATTCTCTTTCTCCCCCTGCCAGTCTCCTCTGATTAAAGAAATCTCTTCTGGGTGCCGACCACTTCAGAGGAGGCTGAGGGGTCCTCACCCAGTTGACCCCAGATTGTTCCCTTGACCATTGGCTGCACTAACCCCTGGCCCACAGAGCCTGAATCTGTAAGCAGTGCGCTTCTAAATGCCCAGTTCACTTTTTTTGCAGAGCCTCTTACCCCAGCACAGTTTGGAACAGAGGGATCAAATTGCTTCTAGGGGCCAACAGGCTGGTCAGTCTGGGTGTGTGGATGTCCAGCTGCCTCCGGGCACCTGCTGTAGGCTGAGCCTCTCAATGCAAGGCGTGGCCAGATGAAGTGTGTTCAGGGGGCTGCCATGTGAGTCATCAGTAACTGCATACAGTTCCCTCTACTGAGTAAACTCTGTCTGTGATTCCCCCAAACATCTGGCATGATGCCCTTTTGTCCTTTCAGTTCTCCACATGTATTAGCAGAGAAGCTTATGGCTAGGTTAGGGGAAGGCAGTGTTCAGGGGTAAAACGGGGATGAAGAAATCAACCCCCCCCCCACCGCCAAGAAGAGAAGGGACTAAAATGGCAAGGGGAGATTGGGTTCTGGCGGACAGCTCACAAGGATGGGCTCTCAAGGCAGAACAAACAAAGGATGGGAGGCTTAGCCCCAAGAAAGGATAAATGCATAGCTTCAGAAGTCCTTAGGATGCCTTGACTTTCCCAAGATTATCAGGCAGCAGGAAGCCCCAGGATGATGGGCACCATCAGAAGTGGGCTCTTGATAAAAGCAAAAACATCCAAGGTTGGTAAATTCATTTGGATCTGCGGTGTGGGAGTGCTGAGAAAGAAAGGAAATGTGGGCTGAGGGGACGGCTTTCCTTGAAAGAGGTAGATTTCAGAAGCGAGGAGGAAAGAGAAAGGGACGTCGTGACTTGTGCCTGGTCCCCAGAAAACAGAGGATCTGGGGTCCCAGGCAGTGCTTACAAATCACAAGCGGATCGGGTTCGAGTGTAGATTCCGGTGCAGTGGGTCTGGGGTGCAGTCTGTGTATTTCTAACAGGCCCCGGGTGCTGCAGGTGCTGCTGCCCTCCCCCCACCCCAATTTAAGTAGCAAAGTCCTGAAGAATGCAGTACGAAGGAAGGTGGCTCAAGCCCCCTGATCCTCTCTCGCCTCACCCCTAGAAACGTACACACCACGAGTCTTCCTGAGCATTCAGGCACCATCAGCAGCAGTGACGCTGGTGTGAAGGAACAAGGACTTAAGGCGCTTTGGCCCGGTGACTATAAAATACCCATTTAGGAGATATACAAAAGCATACTTCAAAAATGTTAAACCCTCACCAACAGCTTTTCTCAAGAGACCATTTGTGTTACGATTACTTGTATAAATATGCTTCCTGCTTAAAGTAAACTTGACCCAAGTGGCTAGCAAATTAGAAACACCATTCATCTCTGACATATGATACCGTTGCCATGTAAAGGCCCTTAATAAGCCATTTACATTTACTGTGAGACTGTATGTTTTAATCACATTTAAAAATATAGAGCTCAAAGGCAGTTAACTGATTAGCATTCAGCCGCTGAGAATAATAATAGGCTATGATGTATAAGCTCTTCAATTATCTACTACTTATACTATATTTACCTATAAAAAGAGATTGTACTTCGTTTTCCATTATGCTATTACAAATTTTCCTTTGAAAGTAGGGACTCTGAAGCAAAGGTATGATAACTGTGGATAAAAACTGTTAAGAATATTAGCTCATGGTATAAGGAACTGACATGACTAATTGAAAAATAATTCCTTACTAAATGAATTGTCATGTTTATGATAGGGAAAAAAAGACAATTTGTGAAAGTTCAAAGCAACGGTGCAACTGAGGAACTGAACTAAGTTCACACTATGGTTCATAATATCATTCTGCATTTGTACAGAAAAACGATTTCAGAACTTTTTGTTTTTGTAACTTGGATAAGACAATTCTATTTTATTTTAGTAAATGCTTACAGGCAAGTTGGGGATCGTGCAGTGTGGTTTAACATCTCCTTACTCTGAAGATCTGGCAGAAAAGGGTACCCAGAGAGGAAATCTAAAGTATTTATAATGGTCCACAATTTTTAGTGTATGAATCAAATTCAAATATAACATTGGCCAAGAAAAATTAAATGTTGCTAACAGATGAGACGGAAGTCTATGGTTTCAGAGATCCAAAGCAGTTAGAAGAAACACTACTGTGACCTCCACAACCTCTGCCTGATTATTCATGCATTCATTCAGTGAATATTTATTTAGTGCCTACTGTGTGCCAGGCACTGTCCTGGGTACCAGGGCCCCTGGAAACCTTGTCTGTCTGGTTCGCTGCTGTATTCTCTCCCAGGGCATTATATTTATAATGAAAGACGCTGTGGATTCATTTATTTCAGTCAAGTAAAAACGGAGACTGTGTAGGTTCCTGCTGAATAAACAGCAAGTCCCAGAAACCCAGGTTCTGGAAGAATTAGCAACACCCAGTGTAAGATAAACCTATCAAGGTGTCAGAGGACATGGCAAGGTAAACCTAGTATTTTCAACCACAGAACCATGTCCGCTTCGGGGGGACTGCTTTCAAATTGGGAAAAGAGCCTGTCAGATCTTGTAAGCGAGGAGTAGCTGGCAGATCCCCCGCCATTGGGAACATGCTCTAGTTCCTTAAACATGGAGTATTCCTGTTGCGCTCTCTCCCTTCCCTGAGTAAGTCATGTAGCCATCTGCTTGTCACATGCCTCTCGTTTGGATTCATTTTCAGGCCAACTGTTAAGAATTGCCTGACATTCTGTACAAAGCATCACGAGCATTTATGCTTTTGATTGTTTTCAATGCGGAGGTGGAGGTTGTTAGTGATCTGTTTCCTTGGAAGGGATGATAGTTAGAGACTCCTCTAGCCAACAGTGTGTACTTATCGAGAACTGACTAGAGCATCAAGTGTTCCTGAAGACAAGGTCCTTGCTTTGTATCAGAGGCGACGGAGCCCAACTCCTCAGCCTCGGGGAACATACTGCCTAAACCAACCGAGCCCACGGGCTGTGAAGCAGACCTCTGATGAAGAAGACATCTGTCATTTTACATCACTGTCTCTCTCTCTTTTTTTTTTTTTTTTGGCACCTTACAAGTATTAATAAATGTTCCACTAAAAGGTGACAATGTGTCTCTGAGTTTTAGAACATCACAGGTCTCATCTTCCTGTGGAAGGTCTTCCCCCGGCACCTAGCAGGTGTGGCTGCTTTGTTTTATAAATATAGCTTGTCACCGAATAGGATACCTTAAAGGCTGACAGGAAAAGTTAAGGTAGAAACATTTTTTCATTTTGTTTGGAAACCTAAGGCAATATTACTGTTTTTCTAGGGATCCATAAGGGAAGTATATTCAAAGGGATTTGCTCCCTGAAGAGTCAAGTACCATAACGAACTCAACTGATACTTTTTTCTTCATGGTATAAATTATGAAAATTTATGCTACTAGCATACAGTTGACCAGCTTGTGCTTAGGCAAACATATATACTGTGACCTGAAAAAAAAATTTAAGGACTTACAACTTTAGGTCAATGGCAAAATGTGCATCTCTTGCATCTCAAGTGCCTTAATGAAGAGTAATAGGTTTGCCCATCAGATCTTCTAAAATTATTATCATAGTGAGCAACATCTCCTTAAATAAACTTCTCAATCTTAGTACTTTATTTTATTTTATTTATTTTTTTTTGAGAGACAGAGCATGAACAGGGGAAAGGGCAGAGCGAGAGGGAGAGAAACAAGCAGACTCACCACTGAGCAAGGAGCCCTACAAGGGGGCTCCATCCCAGGACCCCTAGATCATGACCTGAGCTGAAGTCAGACTCTTAACTGACTGAACCACCGAGGTGCCCCCCAATCTTAGGACTTTTTTTTCTTAGGAGAAAGCCTACCACTGCCTAGACCTCGCGGCAGAATCAGATCACACACACAAACGCTCACACATACACACACACACACAGGCTCTCACACACATACACTCACACAAGCACATGCACCCATTAATACTGGTTGGGCCGTGTTTGTCCACTCTACCACTTACACACCACAATCAATCCCTCCTTTTCCTCTTAAAGTCACCTAAACCCAGTACTTTCCTACTCTTTGAGCTTGATCCACAGTAAGAACTACATTTTCCATAACAACCCCAGTGCATACATATCCTTGTATACACACACAACTGAAACAAAAACAGCAGGAAGCTATATACAGGCGATGCATTTTTTTCTGTTACACTCCACTAAAAAATGCTGGTCAAAGATCCATTAAATTGGGTCACAACATTAACGGGTTACAACCACAGTTTTTTGGAAAACACTGGCTCAAAGCACCTGGTCTTCTTCCCAAAGATGACGAGACCCAATTAGGATTACTAATCATGCAAAACGAATGTAACGATGCAGATCCCACAGGTAACCACCACTGCCTGCAAAGCCTCCAATGCTTTTAGCGGATTTCTGCTGGCAGAGCCCTGAGGACTTTGGCCCCCTCCCCTCCCTTGGAATTCTCATCACTGTGGGGCTTGAGGGCATCCCCCTCCCTAACTTCCACAGTCTTCACTTCATTCCTCCCTCTTGCTCTCCAGCGCCAACCCCCCCCCTGCCCCAACCTCAAATTCTTAATTCATAACCATTTCTAAACAAGACTTGAAAAGTAGACTGAGCCAGGAAAAGGCAAGGCGCCAAGGGTCTCTGAACATCCTCCCCAGCCCCCATCACTTTCTGACAATTACCCTCTTACCTACCTAACAGAAGGGTTTACCATCCATAACTCAGTGACAAGATAAACACCATTGCTACTGGAATGCATCTTATACTGGGATTCAAAAATTTTCATTTTTGCTGAACCAACTAAAAAAAGTAATTCTATGCCCTAAATGTTTGAGACGGTTAGGCTGGCTGAGAACTGGCCTCTTATGGGTGAACTTGACAGCAAAGGGAAAAGTATAACTGAAGTCACTGCCTTCCATATTTATCTGAGTGGTGTCCTAGCTGCCATGGGATGGGGAGGGGAGGGGAATCCTAACCCTAAGCACCCTTGGATCACCGTTACGTTGAGGAGTATGGTAACAGTGATATGTCAAACAAAGACGTGCCTTCAAGGGCACTTAATTAATTAAGTTAAGTTAAGTTGTTACAAATTAACAAAATTAAATTAATTAAATTAAAAACAAAAATTAAATTAATTTGTTACAAATTAACAAAAATTATTTGTAGGAGCAGTAGTACAATATAGGAATACTTAAGCCTGATCTAGCCTTGGGACTTGCAACTTCTCCATTTCAAAATCACTAGGCATTTGTTTGACCACCGTTAAAACTGCAATAACGGCTCATGAAAAGCAGCACACCCTCACCTTCCTACTCCACTCCTTAAACCTGTCCTCCAGGCCCAGAAAGAAACTCCCTTGCTACTGTACATAAAACTTACTCTAAAACCCAGAGAACTCAAAGCCTGAGATGTGGGGATCCAACACAGGGCGCTCGGGACCCCAGTGATCCATCTGACATTCTCTCAAGTTTTGGGGAAATGTACTAAATGACTACTGGGATCTTTCTGTAACACTGTACCCGCTCTGCGGCTGACATATTGACCATGACATACTACACTGTTAGCTTTCCACCCCGGTTAGAAAATTAAAAAGAGAAACCAGGTCACACACAGCCTGAAGTTGGAGGGTGGGTTTGCTTTATAAAACCCATGTATTGTAGGACCTAGTTTTGGGGTCTTCTGATGGGGCTAAGAATGTGTGTGATGTGGGAAGGAGGTATTTCCTAAATTGCTTCCTTCCCTCTGAGCTACCCACTGTCACACAGGCTGTGTTTACACATTTAGCAGCTAAACACTGGTGTCTAT